CGGTTGAATTTTTAAAGCCAGGCAATACAAGTCAAATATGTCTTAATATATTTCAAGTTTTTTCATACTTACAACAAAAACTAGAGATACAGTTCATTATTAGCCTGAAAACATCAAAGTAACATTCTTATTATTTTTTTAAAATGCACTTTCTATCCTAACCCACATTTTCTCTTCTATCATCCTTCCAATCTACATTTTCTTTTAGTCAAATTTGATTTTCAAACTTGTTTGGCAACAATTTTGATTTAGACAAATGTAGTTTACACATAGATACACATTGACACGAGATATGTAAAGTATCTATCTTTTTAGCATGAACTCACACCGCTGACTTCAGATCAAAAGGACTTTTACTTTTGAAATTGACATGTGAATAAAATTTCAATTGTTCAAATTTTAAAAAACTGATAAATTTTTCAACATTCTACTAAAACGTATTTTATTACTGTAAAATAATTTATTATTTTGCTTTCAACTACAAATTCAATGAGTGTGAATTAATATATCTTTGATAGAACTTGTCTCTGACACCATTTACCTTTGCTTTGCCTCTTTTCTTGTTGAGTGAGAGCAACAGTTAGGAGAAGACACACCTTCATATGCATTCTCCCTTTCTTTCTTGTCACCTAGACAAGAAAATACAGAATTAACTACAAGGTCATGAACTCGTTTTAATCAAGGAAACAAACCACGGTTTACAATAATTGCCAAATATTACTGACGACTAAAAAACCATTTTTCTTAAATGGACAATATTAGCTTGTAAAAAAGCCAGATTTCTGGGATTTCACATTTTGACTTTCATGAATTTTGATAAAGGATGTGTGGGCTGCACAATTTAGAAAATTCCAGAACTTTTCAAGGGGCCTTTGGGCTCTTACTGTTTTTCCAGGACTTTTCAAGCCCTGGAAAAGGCCCTGTCAATTTTCCAAGATTTCTCAAGGTTTCCAATATTTGTATGAACCCCGAGTACCTTTTTTTTTTTTTTTTTTTTTTTCGTCAATGTTGAATATTTTTAATGTCTGAAAAGTTGCTATAATGTTTTTTAGCCTACAAATGATTATGACAGATTGACTGCTACTTTTTATTTATTTTTTTATTTTTTTCTTCATGTAAAATTGATGTTAAAGATCTAAATTATAGATAGTATGCTTTTTCAGTTATTTTTTTTGTCAGCAATGATTTTCATTTTTCTCCATATTCTTTGCAACATTTGTTTCCTGTTTAGAATTGGCTTTCTGGTTCCTTCCCATAAAGTCTTCTCATTTTATTTCACCCCCAATAACACTTTGCATGTTAGTGGCATTATCACTCAACCAATGGTATTATGAAGATTGCACTTGCACTCTTTTTCCGCATTGCAAATAGCTGTCTACATGCAAAGCATTGTGCTCATTTAGCTTCAGATAATTCATCAGAGGAACTTTTTAATAAACTTAAAAAAAAATGACATTGTGCATAAAAATACTGTTGGGAAATTTTGCATCAGCCTAACAAGAAAAAATATTTAATAAGCAACCTGTAGCAGAAAAATATGAAGAGAAAAAAATATATATCAAAGATGGTGAAAACATAAAAAAGAAAAAGAAAATATTGATGGCTCTTTTATTTTTAATTGTGACTTACTGGTTTTAAATCTCTGTGAGCATATCCTTTGAAGTGAATATAAGCTACTGCTGAGACAATCTGATGAAAGAAATACTGTGCTTCTTTCTCTGTCAGTTTATCTTTGGCAACCACATAATCAAAAAGCTCCCCTTCAGGACAATACTAAAAGAGAAAATGAAAAGAAAAAACATTTAAAATCTGAACATATTAAATACTTGCAAAGTAAGCAGGGAAATGATATTTCAAATGCAGATAGAGAATCTGTCCAGAGAATGTCCAACAATATCTCAAGAACTTGATACACAGCATTGAGTAACTTGACAACTAATCAGAAGGTACCTTACTGCACATATATATTTATCTCCAATAAATTCCTTCAGCTGGCAATGAAATGTCATTGTGCGAGGTAGTGTAATGTGTCACTGTTACATTCTTATGCAGACTTTTTTTTTTTTTTTTTTTGGTAAAACATTGTATTGCATAGGTTTGCCAGCTCCAATATTATCCTGGTTTAGAACCCATCCAGCTATTTCTGGCTTTTCTCAAAACTAGCATCACATCCCTAAAGTCTCTTAGTTCCACACAGTTCAGATTCAGCTCCCTGCTTTTTCTGTTTTTCCCTAAACTAACAGCACCCACTAAATTCCCTCAGCTCCCCTATATTTGACTCCCTGCTTTTTCTAGCTTTTCCCAAAACTAACATCATTTCTCTAAAGTATCTCAATGCCCTTACAGACAAAATTTGGCTCCTCCCTTTTTCTAGCATTTCCCAAAACTAACATTTCCCTAAAGTTCCTCAGTGTCCCTACAGTCCAGATTTGTCTCCTTGTTATTTCTGGCTTTTCCCAAAACTGAAAAGGGGAAGAAAAAAAGTGCAATTTCAAACTGTGGACAAGATTATGATGAAAAAAAAAAATACCTGACAAGGCAGCTGATGAGGATTCCTAAAGAAGACTTTGCAGTCTGTTTCAAAATGTGGAAGTGACACTAGAATAAATTTATTATTAGCAAGAGAAGGGTTAAGGCATTGATCAATTGAGACTAATTTTTCTTCCATATTAATTGGTTGGATACATTCTAGACTTCATAAACAAGTTGACTACTTAACAGTGGCTAACAAGAAGATCAAAAATGTCTATACTATAAATTATTTAATACTAGCTGAAGTACCTGCCAACACTGGGCTGAGAGGTCAAAATTGGGATTAAAGCTGCTTATAATGGCTGTAATTCCTTAATACTGTGATAAGGAGTCTCCATCATAGTCACATTATGCAAAACTACTAGAAATTACACACACACTATATATATATATATATATATATATAGAGAGAGAGAGAGAGAGATAGAGAGTCAGAACTAAAAGTTAATACTACATAACTACTTAGTTATACATTCCATTTGTTTCACTGAAGAAATGTCTATTTTTAATTAAAAATAGATTCATTTTCAGTGACACCTGTCAAAGAAAGGCAAAATAGATTTCATTTGTTTCTAATGAAGAAATGCTATGAAAAGCAGATGTGGGGAGGGAAGTCTGTGCAATTACTTTTTCAGAGCGCATGATTATGGCTTACAACTAAACTATAGCATGCTCATTTTCAGAGAGAGAGAGAGAGAGAGAGAAAAAAAGTAAACTTGTTTAAATCATTGTACATATGTAAATAGAACACAAGTGTGCTTTACAAATTCTTGAAAAGGAAAATACCCAAACAAATAAATTGTAAATTACTGGTTTAAAGCATTAATTCTGTTAAAGACAACCCAAATGCTACAACACAATGACTCATAACTTTTGAAAAGTGATGAATACAAAAAAAAAAAAAAAAAAAACATTATTTCCCTATAAACAAGCTCCCTCAGTAAAAAAAAAGGAGAGTTAAGACTTATTTTAGATGGCAGAAGGTGTCCAGTCTTGGGGATTCCAACTCTGCAGCAACACCTTCCTCATTGCACTAAGTGAGGTAGGGTTGGTGTAATATGGACACCAGCCTGACAGCGACCATAGGCACTGGGCAATTTTTGTCCTTGGCCTGTATGCATATTTATGTGTATGGGCCCACCATGTCAATAAAATGACCTTGTGTCACATCCCACCTTAGTGGGCCAGTTTGTGGTAAATAATCTCATTGGATGAACTAGGATCAAAGTGTAGTATCTGTGCACTGAAACATGATATGGTGTACATTTTAACTAAATATTTACCCAATACAAAGCCCAAGAGCAACTCAAGATAGAGGGTTACTAAATGATGTTGTTGTATGGATGAAAGAGAAGGAAGTAAGTGCAGATTATGAGGATATGTAAAATAGATGATGGTTGATCCTAGACTTGAAGTAGTTAAGATTATAGTGATCGGTGAAGCTTCCTCTCAGGAGTGTTCTACAGAGTAACAACTCTTGGGGTGGGGAAAAGCTGTTGCATTGGAACTTCCTTCTTACTAATGGAATATAAAAGGAACAAGATTTGACCTTGTGTATGTAAGTGACAATTTTGACTGTTTCTATTTTTGGATGCAATATAAACAATTTCTAAATTTTGCTCTTAGACTGCAAGACAAGATAACTTTTAACCTCTTTAAATGGCTCCAAAATATAAAGCCTGATTACTCATTAAACAAACAGTAGATAATTATTGATTATAGACAAACACATAATGGCATAAAATATTAACCTTGTCTGAATCTTTTGAAGAAATGAGTGCTAGACAGCTGCCCAGTTACAAATAAATATTGGTCAATAAATACAGCCTCGTGGTTGCAGAATTACCTTGAGTAGCATAAGGACTATAGTTTAATCAACCATGAAATAAGTCTTTAGAATGAAAGAACAGCAAACAATGGCAATTTATTTGGAACAAATCAGGGAGATATCAGCTGCGGAGCCAGAATTTCAATAATTTTGGCAAAAATATACTTTCACAAGAACTTTAAAATAAAATCTTGCAGTATTATAACAATCAAAATTTCCAATTTTAACAATATTTAAAAAAATTGGAATTATATAAAAATATGATGCCACAATTTCAAGGAAACTTACTATGAAATCAGTCACTGAGTATTTCACAATATATTCAAGATGGAACACATTTTGTATGCTAGTGATTATACAAGTGTTTATTTGATTTGTTTTCACGACTTATCAACCCTTTGCAGGTTATTTAAAGCCAGAATAAATTTAGATTGTAAGAATATTTTTGGATAATATAATAATTTATTGATATAAGTCTTACTAATTAACACATAGCTGTGGGTAGAAGAGGTGGATTCATAACTTTCCCAAGGATATTTCGGCATAAGTGAATATAATGAAGCCAACTGGAATTGGAACTCAGCTCTTCAATTTCCATTTCCAAGTCATTATCCATTACACCACACACACACATCCAAGCTAACGGCATCTGATATTCCCAAATGCTCACCCATCTAGGTACTGACCAGACTTGATGTTGCTTAACTTCAGTGATCATATGGGAGCCGGTGTTTCAATGTCTTATGGCCATAAACCACAAGAGTTTGATACTATTACTAATTAATATATATTTGCCACTGAAATAGATGGGATTGGAAAGTAACTAAAAGTAGGAAGCTTGGTATATGAACTCTGCAGCTGATATAAAGTAACTATTAGCATTCTTAGTGAATATCATAAAGAAATGGTATGAAATAAGAGAGTTAAGAGAAAAGGAGATATTCACACTTGAAGTAAAAAGTTAACACACGATGAAATGTCACCAATCTTATCAATCTTCAATAGACAGAAGGAAAAAAAGAATTATGAGCTAAACAAAAGAAAAAAATATTTTAAAATTCATATATTCTACAGTAATTTCAATGCCAACTAAAGCATTGGAATGGATGCAAGTTGTTTACCATTGGATATTATATTTTAGTTTATAGTAGTTTTTATTTGACAGAAAAGAAAAATGTTACTTGGACAGCAAGCTTCATTGGAATCAAATGAACAAACCATCCTTTCTGTGGCTGCCATCACTGACAGCACCTATTACAACATAGCAAAGCTAATGTTATGTGGAATTTTATTTTTTCCCACACCTACCTATATTCCAAATCTTTATCCCCCGTATTATATATTGGAAAAAAAAAAAAAACTTCTCCAAACACTTCATTGAGTCAGCATATTTTCAGTCTCAATCCCCAGTCATCAACTCCCCAAACTAAATTATGCTTTCCCCTTCCTTCCTAAAACGACAGTTATTGTCTCCTCCAACCCCAACCTGACACCCTATATAAGCTACCATCAAATAAATGGATTCTGTCATACAACTTCTTTTTAGCAGGTGTGAACATGGTCAATAAAAGTCTACTTAGTGTCAGATGACATGGGGAATGTAGTTAGAGGCCCTTATGACATGCCAAATTATGTCAGCAAGCATCAGTCTCCTCTCCTACCCACTAATCAGATAAAAAAAAAAAAAAAAAGAAAAAAAAGCTAATGCAGCCTTGAAGAAGAGTGGAAAAGAAAGAAAATAAGAAGAGCAGCAAAGAAGAGAAGAAAGAAAATAAGAAGAGAGGAGGAGAAGAGAAGAAAGAAAAGAAGAAGAGAGGAGGAGAAGAGAAGAAAGAAAAGAAGAAGAGAGGAGGAGGAGGAGAAGAGAGGAGGAGGAGGAGGAGAAGAGAGGAGGAGGAGGAGGAGAAGAGAGGTGGAGGAGGAGAAGAGAGGGTGGAGGAGGAGGAGAAGAGAGGTGGAGGAGGAGGAGAAGAGAGGTGGAGGAGGAGGAGAAGAGAGGTGGAGGAGGAGGAGAAGAGAGGTGGAGGAGGAGGAGAAGAGAGGTGGAGGAGGAGGAGAAGAGAGGTGGAGGAGGAGGAGAAGAGAGGTGGAGGAGGAGGAGAAGAGAGGCGGAGGAGGAGGAGAAGAGAGGCGGAGGAGGAGAAGAAGAGAGGCGGAGGAGGAGAAGAAGAGAGGCGGAGGAGGAGAAGAAGAGAGGCGGAGGAGGAGAAGAAGAGAAGAGAGAGAGAATGGGGGGAGAGAATGGAGGGAAGGGAGAACAGGGGGGGAGAACAGGGGGGAAAGAACAGAGAGAAACAGAAGAAAACAAGCTACAGCAGTCTTAGAGAGAAAAGATAAGAGAGAGAGAGAAATAGAAAGAAACAGAAAAGCAACATAAGGAACTTACCTAACACTCATATCTACCAACACCCATAACAAACCCTCAACTAACAAAATTTATGATCAGCAATTTACTTTCTAGTAGGTAAAATTTCTTTTTTCTTTTGTGGGTGTATTTTTTTTTTAAATGTGGGTAAGGAGAAAGAATTTGTTATTTCTGCATCATACATTCCCCATTTTTTCAACCTAGTAAAACATTTTTCATCTTTTATTTGTTGTTACCTAGTGTTTGCAACCTCCTCTCCCAAGACACCATCAAAGAGGACATTTCACATTTTATGAGAGTAGGTCTCTATTACATTCATCTTCCTCCATCAGAAGTTTCCAAAACTAAACTAACAAGAAATACTTCTGGGTGGGGGAGGGGGGAGGGGAAATCATGACATAGGTGCATATTAGCATGACTTTTACATGTTGTTAGCTGATAAACCAAACATAATTTAGAAAGATTAAAAATAATTTTGAAACAAAACTGCCACTGACAATGTTAATACAGGATCAAAAATAACTCAACATACTATGCTTTATATATATATATATATATATATATATATACACACACACACACACACTATCCTCCAATTGATGTTGTTGGTATTTAGACTTTCAATTTTTCCATTGCTCAATCCCTTATTCAAACCATGGATTTCCTTATTTGTTTCCCTAACAAATCTGGTGGCACATTCGAGTAATAGATAACAGCTCAGATTGAGGAATTAGAAAGTCGAGTTTGAATTCCAATCAAATCCATTACATTCACTTACATGCTAATACTTTTGGGAAAGGTAAGAATCTTCTTCTTACCCCAACTATGGGTAAATAGTAGGACAGACCAGGTTCTATAGCCTTGGATGGCAACTAGTTTACTGCAGAAAGAAATGGCAACCTACTGCAGGAAAAAAATCTGCCTTGTCAATCATGTATCGAAAGATACATGATTGCCTAAGCATGTATCACACATGGCACATAACTGACTAAATGAACAAATCTGAGCAACAGGTTTCTTTATTTGATTTATTTTGTACCTCCATGCTCTTACTGAGCATCGCATCACTGTCCTCTTGGCAACTTAGATCACTGTATTATCTATTGATATTTCATTCCATTCATCTATTAGACAAGAACCTCCTATTCATAAGACCTCTTTCCATTACCAGCATTGCTGATTTTTCAAGATGCCTCTTGAACTGATATTTTTAACCTTCATATTGTGTTTTTTTTTTCTTGGGCCAAAGCAGGCATAGATTCTTTCATCCCTTTTTTGAAATACCAGTTAAAACCTCCATGTTCTGCTGTTATAGCCCACTGGAACCACTATTTCCGGCTATACCAGCATGACAGTTCTCATCGAAACAGATGCTTATTCATGGTTGAACGTAATAAATGTAAATGTATCCTCAAAGGAGCTAAGACTGTTTGCTGAAGGAATGAGGCACCATATTGCATCTAACAACTTTGGCTCTCATGATTACTGGTGGCTATGTAATAGTGTTCTAAATAAGAGTAAGTTTTCTATTCTTTCATTAACATTTTTTGCCCATAAATTCTCCTTAAACTGTACTCTTGACTTGTCTGAAGTATACTTCATTTTCCACTCAGAACTGGGTCTCTGTTGAGTAATATGCATATAACCACTTCTATGGTTTCTGCTATCATCTCTAATCTGGATCCCCACAAAGCATGTGGACTTGATGGTATCCCTGTAATAGTCCTTAAGGAGTGCGCTCCTGAATTAGCTCCCGATTTCTCTAAACTTTATAATAAATGCCTAATGCTGCTTCTTGCTTTCCTGCTTGTTAGAAATCCTCATCTGTTGCTCCAGTTTTGCGAAACCACTAGAGGCCTTAATCAATGCTGAATTGATTAAACATCTCACATCACAGGGCCTCCTTTCAGACAAGCAATATGGCTTTCGTTTCTCTAGGTCAGCTGCTGATATACTGATGATAATTGCAGAAAGAGTCTATCAAGCTCTAGATAAGAATGGTGAAGCTTAGGCTGTTGCTTTCAACTGGGTTTGGCATATAGGTATTCTTTATAACTTGAAAAGTTAGTTTTTCAGGACAAATTTTTGAACTGATCCAGTCTTTCTTATCAAATCATAAAATGAAAGTTATCCTGAACAGTCACTCTTCTAGTTCCTTTTGTACTAATGCAGGTGTGCCCCAGGGTTCTATTCTTGATCTTACTTTGTTTTTAATTTTCATTAAGAACCTTCCCAATGGTATCAGCTCTCAACTTGTATTTATGCTGATGACAAACATTTATTCCTGTCTCTATAGCAAGTCTGATCAGTTTCAGTCTGTTGTTAACTGGGGTAAAGAATGGCTTGTTAATTTTAACACCTCCAAAACTACTTTCTATTAATTATCTGAGAGACCCCTTTCACCTTCTATCAGCATGGCTGATGCTAGCCTTCAGGAGAGTGACTCATTGTGCCTTCTCAGGCTGACATGAAGTGGAAAAACTATATCAAATCCATTGCAAGGTCAGCAGCTAAGAAAGTTGGAACTCTCTTCTGGCTTCATGCTTCCCAGTCAACTTTAATATCCAAAAGTTCAAATGCAATGTCAATTGCTATCTACTGTCTTCTTACATTCTTATTCCTTAGTAATGTTTGTTTCCTAATTCTTCCACAACTCCTTGTGTCTTAGTGGCTTTACTGCCTTACTTGGTGCGAAATCAATTAAAAAGAAAAAATTATATATATATATATATATGATGGACTCTTCTATCAATTTGACATATGAGGGCTCAACAGTCTTTTCAATTAATTTTTTTCATGTTTATGCCATATATGGCACATCAGTTCAGCTGCTGATTCACACATCAAGCCACATTTAGTGCAGATGACAAGATTTTGGGTGTAGCATGTTGGAAGCTTTGATCAAATCTTGGTGTTAGTTCTTAGATCACAAAGATGAATCAAACAAGATTCTTTGAAGTTCTTTATACCTTCATGTCAGACTGTCCTCCATTTTTATTTTTACAGTCAGCAGCTAGGGCTTCAAAAAGAAGTAGGTAATAATATATATATATATATATATATATATATATATATATATATATATATATATATAGCCTACAGTGAGAGCTGATGATAATAAAACAGTGATTGATGTAAAATAACAGAGCTAAAATTTATACTAATTATAAATATACATTTGTTCCAGCTCAAGTTTACATGCATATAGCAATTGTCAGGCACAAATTTGTGATTGCTATGTTCAACCCAGAATTGCATCATATATATATATATATATATATATATATATATATATATGTGTGTGTGTGTGTGTGTGTGTGTGTGTGTGTGTATGTATTATACAACAAAATACAAAATTACCTCGTATGGGGAAACAGATCTATTACAACTAATGAGTTAGTCTAATTCAACCTCAGTGTAGAGACTGTTCGTGTCGGAATTAGAAATTTAAAATTTAACTTTGACAGCAGTCGAGAAATTGTTACAGAATTTATCCATTTTGATGTTTTTCTGTCAGACGAAATGACCAAGTCAAATATTCTGTTGAATACTGGGGTTGAATAAGACATTTTTGAAACTTAATTTTAAGTTTATAATTTCTGCAAGTTAAACCTGAGAAACAACCCTAACATCAAGGGACACAGTGTGTGTGTGTGAGTGAGTGAGTGAGTGAGTGAGTGAGTGAGAGAGAGAGAACAGGACTACTACCTGCTTCACTATTTTTATTAAAAAGAAAAACAACCAACTGACATGTTACAAACATTGATAAAGAGGGAGTGAGTGAGCAATTTAGACAATAACTGCCATACCTGTCCAGATTTGCAACAAAACAAGAGCCAATTGTGTGTGTGTGTGCTTCTTGGTCAAGCTGATAACTTGCTGCAACCATGTATATATCCCTAGAAACACATCGATGCACACTGGTCACATGGGGAGGAAGGGAGATAAGGACAAATGAAATGATTTCTAAGTCTGATATGGAAATAAAACATCATTCTAGAATCCTCCCTAATTTGGAAGCCATTCAGAAAGACAAGAATGAAAAATGGATTTTCAAAACAGAAGAGATAGTGAAAAGAATCATTAACTTCTGGCACATCAACACCTTCATGAGTCATAACTATCATTTCATTTTAGCTCACTAGAAAAAATAATTTTGTGGCTGAGAGATTAAGTATTGTCATTATCTGTTATAGTGGAACACACCTATTCTATAGTTAATAGACTCTCCCACCTATAAGTAGGAGTAGTAAGAGTAACAAGTCAGTCGGCAGGAAGTTGGTCAGTCAGTCAATGTCGGACAACCGTTAGTCAGATATTAAAGTATCAGCCACCACAACTAGATTACTGTGTCATTACCTATTATATTAAGTTCCTAACGTTTTGTACGTCGAACCTATTTTAGGACCCACTTAGTACAAATACAAGCCTCCACTGTGAAACCACTACATAACATTATCCCAGAATTATTTTGACTAGTATCTGTTTTCTTAATCACTACATTTCAACTCACCAACTGGACAATGTCTACCCCATGTTGCATCACTATTCTCTGGTTATGTCAACATGCCCAAAAGCTGGGAAAGGCCATCTGCATGCTCACAAGGAAAACAAAAGGTGAAAATGTTACAGTGCAAAATGAAGATGCAAATCCTGTTTTCAAATATTTATATTTGTTGTTCCTTTCACAGTCTTCTTGCACTGTTTGCATAAATGAGTAACTGAGAAGTAGGGGTCACTTCCGTTACTTCTGACCTCTCCAACTAACAGATCTGCTTTACCCCACTCAACTCTAACTTTCTCCTCCCAACTCTCTACTAATCTCAACATCACAATACACAGCTGGCAACTCAAAACGAGTGGCTTTGGGACTATCCCAAGTGATTGTCCGTCCCCGCTGCCAAAGGGTGATCCAGATCTACTTCAATCCCAACTGTGACTTAATATAAGTCTGTTATAGGAAATCTACATGAAGTTCCCAAAAGTTTTCATTTATTTTTCTAGTATTTTTTCTCTTTTAGTCAAGTGGATTGGATGATTTGAAGACTACTTCACAGAAATATATTCACCAGTGTCAGAGTTTATCCCTTGAAAATGTTATCCTACTGTCACTTATTTGCCTTCAATAATTCTTCATTGCTTTCCAATTCTTCAGCTTGTCATCAGTGACTAAATCTTTTTTCAAGGTCATTTTGAGGTACACTCAGAAGTGAGCTTTTACTGCTATTGTATTTCAATTAAACTTTCTCAAATATGGTCACATTATGCAAATAATTTCAAAAGTAAATCCATTCATAATTAAGAATGAAAGGCAAATTTTGTTAATATTTCAATCTTTATTTCAAATTAAGAACAATTACTCTAATATAAAGAATGAGATACATGTCATGGTTTAAAAACAATCACTTCATTACTGCACAGTAACTTAAAATATTTTATTTCTTTTAAATTTTCACTTCTAGATACCTTTGTTCAGAATAAATTTCTATTTTCATGTATCATTATTATTTAAAAGTATAGAACAAACAACTTCATAGACATCTATTTTCAATTCCAAAATGAATTATTTTCACTGTGCTAAGAATTACTTCACCTTAAAATAAATAAACTAATATAAATGGGTTGTAATGAAAGAATATAGCAAAGCAGGAAGCTTGGTTGATTTGTTTTCTACAACTTACCAACCCTTTGCAGGTTATTTAAAGCCAGAAAATATTTTTAGATTGTAAGATTTTTTTTTTTTTGAGACAATAATGGTTTAGAGATACAAGTCTTACAAATTAACCCAAAGCTGGGGGGGGGGTGAGAAGAGGTTGATTCATACCCTTTCCCAAGTGTATTTATATCTAAGTGAATATAACAAACCCGACTAGAACTGGAACTCAGCTCTCCAATTAACAATTCCAAGCCATTATCCATTACACCACCCACACATCCAATATTACAGTACCTGGTATTCCCAAGCAGTCACCCATCTAGGTGCTGACCAGGCTCAACATTGTTTAACTTCATTGAGTGTACGGGGAACCAGTGCTTCAACATGATGTGGTCATAAGCCTCTTAAGTAGCCAAACAAATACAGTAGCAAGAGTTAAATTAGTAAAAGTATCACTAATGCAAGTTTCAAGACAGGTTGCAAGTTCAAGTGTTTTTGAACAAGCTACTTTTTCAGTTATATTTCTTGATGTTTACTTTAACAGTTAAAAAAGAAAAAAGCAAGAGGAGATAAAGTTAGTGTTATGATAAAAAGCAGCAAAAACAATTTTATATTAATGAAGAGTCATTTTTGTCCTTCCCATCCTTTGAAGTTCTATTATTGCTATCATTTTCCCATGTGCAAGCCATTAGACATCCAACATGTCATTTCCCTATTAGATTTGTATTTTTTTTTTTTTTTAAATCAAAAAGGAGGGAAATTTCTGTTTAAGCTTGTAAATAATTTTGATCAGAAAAGAAAAAGAAATGACATTATTCAAAGTATGTTCCAAATCATGAGAGAAATTAAGAACATCACAAAACACAAAACTTTATAAAGATTAGATTTTTTTCAAGTAAAAATTGTTCAATAAAGCTTTGAGTTCTCACTTTTATTGTAGCATTTACACTTACAAAATTAGATTTAAAATAAACAATAGTTATTAACAACTAGAGTTGGTTGGTTTGGCAATTTATTCGGTTTCCATTTTTTTTAATTTGATATCATGGTTTTCAATTCGGTTATTCAGTTTTTAATTTAGTATTTTTGCTTTCTAAGGAAGTCATTCATTTTCTTGTGTAATGATAGCATTTCCAGTAGATATCTGATTTTGTTTGAGTTTGATAAATTTGCAACTTAGTCTGTTCAACTTGCAACTTCTCATGTATAATCTTAAAAATATTCATATGGCTGGAAAGAAAATAAAATAATCTTTCTAAATATGCAATTTGTATGTGCTTTTATTCATTGAATTATTTTTTTTTTTACAGTGAGTTAAAATGGTATTTTGCTTTGAACAACCGAAAATGCAAAATATGATTTTCTTCTTTTTTTTTTTTCTGAGACTAAATTTTACACGTTACTTTGTTTTGCAAAATCAAAGTTGACTAATCTTTATCAATATCCTTGAAATTGTACACTCAATTAGAAGACACCTTAAACTACAACCAGGAAGATGTTCATTTCTTCTGATACGATGAAGCAAATTCCTTCAAAAATTATAAAGTAAGCAAAGAAAAAAAAAAAAAAAAAAAAGATTAACTGATAGTATGTGTGGTAAATGAACTTTCAAATTATTGAAACTACTGTCTTGTCGCATGAAAAAATAAATGCCCCATATACTTTTCGACTTTCAAGTGTTGTTTTTTGAAATGTCTGTCATTGTGGAAGTCTGTTAACTGGTGCGTAAGGAATCAATATTTGTCTTTTTTTTTAAGCAAGAGTAATAAAAATTTATAGACATGCGTTAAAGACAACTGGAATTGAAGACCTGAAAACCGTGAATCAGGGTGGGTAATAAATTAGGAATTGTTCACCTAAAATCAGTTTTTAGGCTTTAAAGTAAATTTAGTCATAGAATTCATCACTTAAGTTTATTAAACTTTCAAATAAATTGTCAGTTATAAATAACTACCATATTTATTAAAAAATTGGTAAAATACAAAAAAAATTGTCACATACAACAAAATCATCACATACTTTGGACACAAATATAGATATTTTTAAGAGAGAAAACAGTATAGCTGTCCAGAAATTAGTTTATGATGTGGCTAAAAATGAAACTAAAATAATTCAAAATATGGCAATTCTTTTCTGGTATGCCAGTCAACTGTTGTTGGGGTTTTGCAAATAAATTTCTTCTAAACAAGGAAGATCAATGAGTTAATTTTTTCCCCCTAAATAAATTTTTTTGATCTAACAAATAATACACCTAAAATTAAATATAAAAAATAATTAAAAGCTTTTAATTTCATTTTTAGAATTTGTAAATTTCCAAATCTGCAAGTGTCATCTGTTCTTTTTTAGATACACATTTTAAAACTGAAATTTAAAAACTATTTTAATCATTTTTTTTTTTTTTAATATAATCTTACTTAAGTGTATTTGTTAGATAAAGCCATATTTGTAAAAATAAAATGAATTAATTTTCCTTGTTTAGAAGAATTTTATAGGCAGAACACCCACCAAACACTAGTGGCTTTAAAAAAAAAAGTGAGAGAGAGAATAATTTTTACTTTGGGTTTAAAAAAAATGAGTTGCAGTTTTGAAAATATACACATTTCAAAATTCAGATTAAAACTTACTTTTTTTTGTAATATCTAATTTTAGGTGTATTCACTAGATAGAAGCACATTTTATTTGTAGTAAACAAACAATACTCGCATTTCTGGAAATATACACATTTTAAAATGAAATTAAGAACTATTTTAATTATTCTTAATATCTAATTTAGGTGCATTCCCTAGATAAAAAACAAATTTATTCACAAAAAAAGATCTTTGTTCATGTTTCTTGTTTACAACAACTATTTCATGATTAGTGTACACTGGCTTACTAGAAAACAATTACCTATGTACAATCCTTACAAAATATCCAACTTCCTAAAATTTAACATTAAGACAAAAATGGCAACTATTTTTTTTTATTTTTACTCGTTATTTTGTTGTTAACTTAATTTTACCACAAAAAGTTTTTTTTTTTTTGAAAACTGAAACAAATAGATTTCACTCGGATATCATGTCGTATTTTCTTTTTTTTCTTCTTCATTTCTTTTGTAAACAAATAGATTTCACATTTATTTCCTAAAACTAGTCAATTAAATGTTTTAACATATTTTTGTTCAATCTTTTTCCCTTACAATGGTATAAATGTTGATAAAATTTAATTTTATTAACATTTGAAGGTCTTTTTCAATAGTGTTTCTTTGGCTATGGTCACTCAGTAGTAATAGCACTAAACCGAACGATTTCGGTTTCATAAAAAATTTCAATGCGGTTTCACGGTGTGAAGATGAAACCAAAAAGTCATTTTTTTTGTTTAGACTGCCTATCTCTATTAACAACTAAAGTACATTGACATATCTATCTATAAATGCATAAGTATAATCTGCGTGTGTGTAAAATTGGATCAATAACACCATAGCCTAACAGTGATCAGCTAAATCTGATGTGAAATTTTCATGATGAAAAAAGCCTTTATTTTACAAAAAATATTTTTCAATATAATCTCTTTCTTTTTTAGTACACTTAACCCATTGTTTCTACATTAATCACCTAGATCAAGCATTATACAATGAAAATTTCAAGTCAAATTTAGCTAATAACTATCTGTTAGGCTATGGAGTTATTGATCCAAATTTATACACACACAATGAACCTGTACTATTTATAGATAGATATGTCTATGTACTTTGACTGTTAATAACCATTGCTTATTTTAAATCTAATTTTATAAGTCCAAATGCTACAATAATAGTGAGAGCTCAAAGTGTTAGTGAATAATTTTTACTTGAAAAAAATCTAATGTTTATAAAACTTGAATTCTGAGGTCAAAATAAATATATTATATTTTACTTATTCCAGATAAGTAATTTTTTTTCCCCAAAACAGTAAAATTCAGCTTACCTCAAGCACTAAAAATACTCGTTCTTCATTTTCAATTACCTGGTACAGCTTGCAAATGTGTTTATGATTAAAAGCCTTCATGGCTTCAATTTCTGTTTTCACTCGTGGCAAGTCAGGCTGTCAAGAGAAATTATTGTAAACATCAGAATTTAACAAAGTAATAAATATAAAACATCAAAATGGCACAATTAGATTATCTTTTGAGCAAGCAAAAATCCTCCACACATGAAATGCAAACTGATACTGTGAAATCACTTTTCTACATGTTATAAGAACTTCATCTATAACCTTGAGAGGAATCATTAACATATCCAACTTTATTTGGAAACAAGTCTATTCTTTGTATATTTGCTGTTGTCAGTTTTGGGCTATCTTCTGGTGTAGTCAATGATAAAAAAGAAAGTCCAGATAATTGATAAAGAGTATGATTGGGGAGTGAGTAAGCTGAAGGAGGCAACATATTGCCAGTTGACTGGGTGCCATGTTCAGTTGGCATGAAATTCAACACTTCAGATTTTTTTCTATGGTACAAAACTGAAGCATAGCAAAAATAAATATATTCATGTAGAAAATTAATGCAAAAAAATAAAGAAAAAAAGTGATGTAAATCCTCCTTAGTGGCCAGATAAGAGTTGATAAAAAATAAAAATAATTGGCCACTTTTGGCAAAAGATTTACTCCACTTATTTTTTTCTTCTTCAACAGTAATTTTTAATATAGCTCCACTTCTTCATACCATGCTACAGCTTTCTTTACTTAGAGTTGGTTTTGAGGAGCTCTCCACCTTACTGGAGTTTAGAATCACCTGGACACTTAGGGCATCTGTCATAATAGAACAACAGTATAGTAGGTATATTAAGGAACAATTTTTGTCGCTCATTAAGGTTTCCCTTATTCTCAGACATTACACCTAAAGAGGGCTGAAGAATAGATCAACATTAACATTGATAGCAATAAAGATTCAATAGTGATTTTAGCATGTAAACAAACAAATAAGCCACCTCCCAGGTTTTCACTAACTGGACAAATAACCCCATGTTGCATCTCTATTCTTATTCACATTGGTATGCACAGAACTGGGAAAGGTTCACTGGGAAATGAAAGGTGAAAATGCCACAACAAAAAGGAAAAATGTGAATTCCATTTCCCATATATTCATTCCTTTTTCTCTCAGGGATCCATTTGCAAAATCTGGGTGGGTAGGTAGACGACACTTTTGACAAGAACTGTCATATCAATCTAACAGATTTGCTTTTCCCTTCAACCAGTGAAAACTTTCTCTCCTACCACTCCTCTACCCATTTCTATATCACTATGTATAGCTTCAGAATCCTCTCTCAATGGGCAGCATGATCCATTAACAGGCAAGCCAGAATGCCTCAATACTAACATTTTATATAAGCCTGCAAATGGAAATCTCCAAGATCTAACTACTTGTCACCTGATCCTAAAAGTTTTCATTAATTTATTTATTATTTTCTTCTCTCTTAGTCAAGTGGGTGGCCACCTTAAAAGACCACATCTCAGTCACCACTACTGGTCAGAAAAAATACAAAACACTTTAAAATTGCCCACTATAGTGTCACATACAGATATTGGATATTTAAGATCAATTTGACTTTTAAACTATCTTTTACTCTGATTTATGAGAGATTATAAAAATTGCAAATGTTAGTAATAATTATACATTGACAGGAAATGCTGAAGATGTTGGAATGCTGAAATTTGTAATTTTTAAATTAAACCCACCCCTCCAGATGTCTGTACATGTACTTTATTCTTTAGAGAATATGATATAAAATTTTTATATATCAGAACAATGTTAAGCAAATGAATGGCAAATTTTGAAAAAGTTCTATGTAACATGTTTCATTCTCTAGAAGGACTTCACCAGACTACTAACATAATGTTTTCTGTGATGGAATTATATATGAAGGGTAAAAAATGTGAACGGAAAATGTTGAAGATGTTGGAATACTTAAATTTTTAATTTTTAAATTAACCACCCACCAGACATGTCTGGACATATGCTTTAACCAATTTCATTCAGTATCCTTATATTTTTATCACTTATTATTACATATGTCACACTGTCATAATAGATCTGCTAAGAACAATGAAATGTAAGAGCCAGGCTGCAAATTTAGCATGGATGAGCTAGCAATCAAAACACTTTCTATACACTTTTGCCTTAGTAAATTGCTTTTTCCTTTAATTAAAGTAGCATTTTCTTTTTTTTTTTTTTTTTAAATCAAAATTATTGACTAAGTGATTGACTAATGCACGAAGTGTGTTGTTTGGAAGACTGGTTAACAAGGTCAAATTACTCTGTAGATAAATTATATAGCACATCAGGTTATATAACGGTTCCATGTAGGATTTAGGTTCAATTCCTGTTGGAGGATACACATTTTCTATGAAATTTAGTTAATACTGTTTCTTATAAACAGAGCATTTACTTAAATATTTGTATCTATAAAAATAATGTATAAACAGAAAATATATTAGTGTGTGTGTGTTATATCCGCAAACTTGTACTCGAGTACCGACATCACTTGATCAATCTATACAGGGACTGGTATTATTTATCACAAATGTTACAGCTGAAAAGGCCCATGGCATGTACTGCTGCTGCTACTTCCTGACAATTATTATAAATTTTGGTGACTTTTAGGCCTGCTTTACTTAGTCATTTTTTACCACATTGAAGACATGTGAGATCAGATTCAATGCCAACATACACTGGGAATTCAATAATTTTGCCTTTTCTGAGATTTTCTGCCTTTTTCAATTGCTGATGCTTCTTCCTCCAATCTTCAAACAAACTTGCACCTACTTTTAAAGAATGCCTCCAGCTCACACAATCCAAAGCAGCATTCTCCAAGTCCTCAAGTGCAATTTTTGCACTTGTCAATGATTGCTTCAGGCAATCTTTGAACCTTATTTTAGACTTGTTTTGTGGATGCTTCCCCCAATAGAAAAGCTGTCTCGGAAGTTGCTGATCTGACATTCTCAACAGAGGGCCACACCACCTAAGATGATGTTGCAGGGCTTTCAATGCTCATGCACTTACACTTGTCAAGGACTTCAACATCACTAATGAGAATCTGCCAGAAAATTCTAGCAATCTTTCTCAGACACTGTTGGTGAAAACCTTCTAATGTCTTCAGGTGTCCTAAATGCTACCCATGTCTCACAAGCATAGAGAAGAGAGGATAGAATGCAGCTCTTATATAACTTAATTTTTGTAACTAGATATATGCCACATCACAACCACAAATGATCACTCAGTTTGACAAAGGATGTGCTTGCTCTGCCAATTTGCAAGGATACGACATCATCACAGGCATATGAGTTGTTCAAAGTGCTACCTTACACAAACTTATCTGCAATCTTCAACTTCTGCCCATAAACATACACAGAAGGCTCAACATATTCTTTACCAGGAGCAGGTTGATATATGGCAACAGTTTTATCCAAAATTATTGTCAGCCCCAGAGCCATGAAAGCATTAGAAAACAAATCAATCAAATGCTGCATGTCACTCTCAAAATGAATATATAATTCACAGTTGTCAGCATAGAGAAATTCTTGGGCGAGGGCATTTTGTACCTTTGTGTTGACAGCCATATGCTGTAAATTAAACAATTTTCCTGACATGTAATACTTAATATAGATGCCATGAGGGCAAACCTCAAAAGTCATCACAAACACCATTGAAAAGTATATGGCAAAAATCATAAGAGCAGGAATATCTCCCTGCTTGACACCATTCTCTACAAATAATGGTTTTGAGAGCTTACCACCAACATTTATCCAGGCTTTCATGTCATCATGAAGACACAAAACATTTATGAACTTTGCAGGACAGCCAAGTTTTCCTAAGATCTTCCAGAAAGCAGCTCAATTAACCATATCAAAAGACCTTGTTAAGTCAACAAAGACCTGAAAAAGATCCATTTTTTCTCTACACACTTCTCCTGTAGCTGTCTCACAGAAAAGTGAATACAGCAATACCTCATCTGCTATGTTGGTGAGCAGACAATCTAACAGTATTCTACACAATACTTTACCAATGACCAAGAAAAGAGCTATGTCATGGGAGATCCCACAGAGGTCTTTTGCAGCTTTCCTCTTGTACAGAACAATCATAAGGGAATCTTTCCAATCTTGAGGAACCAGCTCATCCTCCCACACCTTTTGCATGAGATCAGTTAGTATACAGGTAAAGCTTTCACAATCTTATTTCAAAATTTTTGCACTCAGACCATTCATGCTTAGTGACTTCCCATTGTTCAAATTTGCAACTGCACCAAACACCTCCTCAGTAGATGAAGCCTTTGTGTCTTTACTGCCTTGAATATGGTGATACCAATTATATATATATATATATATATTCAGACCAAAAATCCAGTCATATAAATCAATTAGTAAAAATAAAAATAAATGGGCATTTAAATTTATATTACTTTCTAGTGTAAATATCTATATGAATTAATTAGATTAATTTTCATATTAAAATGTTTTGGGAAGGGCTCAAGATTAATGTCATCCTGGATGGTTAGGATTTTTTATGCATGTGTGATGATGTATAATTAATTAAATTATAATTCTGTTATATTTATTCTAAAAGCAAGTAATTTCATAAAATAAAAATTTTTTTACTTCTCACCAATAGTGGTAGGCTTTTAATAAATGGAGCATGCACACAAAAAAAAAAAAAAAAAGATTAAAAAAAATAAGTAAAATGTGCATGAAATTCAAATGAAAAATGAAGGTTGAAGCACTTAAATTTAATTATTCATATTTATCTCTAAATGTGAAAAACGTTGGGATCTAATTATAAGAACTAATTTTTTCTGTTAATTTTTGATTAGAATGATTTTTAATAAGCCATTAACAACCTTTATGTGTCATATTTTCTGCTTATAATAAATTAAATTGAAAATTCAAAGGAGAATTTGAAAAATGATAAACTAACACAAATGATTTAGTCATGACACAAGGCAAATAATTGCAAATGAACATTTTTGATAAAGACTTTAAAAAATGTTTTATCATTGGGAAAAAAGTATTCTTTATATAGAATATGAATGCATTGAGCACAATTCTTAATGTATGATAAAAGTTACTCTGAGCATGAAAATTACTAAGATCATTTCCATGTATGTTTAAAGTTGTGACTTTCATGGAAATAACAGTAAAATTTAACCAATTATTTTGCATTAATTTTTAAAATTTTAATATTTTAGTTTTTTTTTTTAATTTTTATTACATGTTCTACTTAAATTAAAAACAAATAAACAAAG